AGACTAACTCTGCCCCGTTTTTTAACCTTTCCTCAGAGGTCAGGTTTTCAGAGATCACTTTTGTTGCTCTCCTCTGGACTTTCTCCAATTTGTCCCCATCTTTCCTAATGTGTGGGGCCCAGAATTGGACATAGTGCTGCCTCACCAGTGCTACATGTAGAACAGGACAATTGCCTCCCATGTGACACTCCTGTTAATAAATCCCCGAAGATTAGCTTTTGTCACCATGTTGACCCACTCTAACCCCAGCTCCTTTTGAGCAGCACTACCACCTCGCCAAGCATTCCCCAGCGTGTCGTTTGCATTTGATTTCCCCCCCCCCACTTTTTAAGTGAAGTACTTTGCACTTGTCTTTATTGAATTTCATTTTGTTGATTTCAGATCAATTCTCCAGTTTGTCAAGGTCATTTTGAATTCTAACCCCATCCTCCAAAGTGCTAGTAACCTCTTCCAGCTTGGTGTGGCTTGACAATTTTATAAGCATCCTCTCCACTCCAAGTCCTTAATGAAAATCCACTAGTGCGGGATGCCCCAGCTTGACAGCAAACCTTTGATAACTACTCTGAGTAGAGTCTTACAATCTCCTGGGCACCTACCTTATCGTAATTCCAGCTCCCCTGTAACTCTAAATGCACCCCTTGCAATGCTACTGCTGAGCCCGAGAGATGTGTCTAGTCTGTGGTTCTAGCTGGAAGGCATCTTTGCCTTAGCTAAGCAATGAGAGGGGGGTAAGCGAAGCAGTGGAGATGGATGTGTCCTAAACAGCCACTGATTCTCAGTCCTATGCTGAACTGAGAAAATTTTCGTTCCGTCACACAACCTGTGTCCCCGTAGCTCTAGAATCAGGGTAATAGTGACCCATCTTCGTCAAGTGCTGGGTGCTCCACAGCTGAAGCGTTCAGTGTGTGCAAGTTGTGTGCCCGTTATAAAGGGTCAGATCGCCCGTTAAAACTAAATCACAGCAACTCTGTGCTCGAATTGGCATTGTGCACTCACTGAGTGCTTTGGCTTCTGGCAGGTAATGAATACAAGATGTTAAAATAATAGTATTTTGTGGATTTCACATGAAATTCAAAACTCAGCATGCCCGGACTGTTGTTCTGGCACACGATGTATGATGATAGTCTCAGGAACCAAACAAAATAGCTAAGTGTTATCTGCCCTCCAGGTCCACACAACAGCGATACTAACTCCGCACACTGTGCTGAATGGAAGTCAGGAAACAAATGTTTTGCTTCTTGCTAGTTTTGACATAGGACAACAGATTTATCTTTCTCAGGACGGTGAAAGGCTCCAGCTTAGTCTCCCAAGAGAATGGAAAGCTGCAAATCTGATTAAGAAATGGGATATTAAGTTCCTCATTTCCAGTCTAATACAGTTGTCCATTAGTTGTGGCTTGACTCAGAGGATTGACTTTGGTTTTTAACAGTAAAATGCCTCTGGGAGTGGATTAGCTCAGTCTGGTATGAAGTCCTGGAGCCAGTGAAGAGTGTCCTTGTCTTAGCACTGATACCATTTTCTCTTAGTGTGGGCCTGACTCTGCTTTCCCAGAGCTTTGCTTGGAAACAACGTTCAGGTGCATGTCAATCCTCTGCTTCTTAGGCCAGGGCTCTCAACTTTTATTTACACTGTGTCAGTTAGCGACCAGCCCCAAACATTCCAGGAATTGCTGCCTGCTTTTCAAATATTTCAAAACCCCTTTTGAAATAGCGCAACATAAGAATGGCCTCTGTGGGTCAGACCAATGGTCCATCTTGTCCAGTTTCCAGTCTTCCCAGAGGGGCCGATGCCAGCAGTCCCAGCTTCTAGCATTCAGAGGTTTCAGGACCCCTAGACCGTGGGTGACTAAGTAGCCATGGATAGACCGATCCTTGATATGCTTAATATTCAATATCTAGTATACCATGAAACATTTTTTATCTACAGGACAATCACTAGATACCCAGTGATCTTTATGCAACTGCATTGTTACCAGTAACATTACAATAAAGCAGGTCTTTCTAGCAATCTTCCATCAGTTTTGTTAGGTCACTGATTGTTCTTTCAACACATCTAGCTTGTTTTCAGTGTCTGCATTGTCTCTTATGCACCAGACCCAATGATTAAACAAGCAAATAGCCCCTTATTGCCCAATATTCAGACTTCATATCCTGGTCCCAAACTACCCGTTCAGTGTTGGGTTCTCAAAGACTTAGCCTCCTCTTTCACAAAAAACAAAAATGGCAGAATAATTCCACCAGCAGCTTTTTCCCCAGGTTAAATCGTTATTCTTAGTCCTTGGTGTTCTAAGCCTGTAGCAGCCTCTCACTCCCTCAGACAGGCCCATTATCATCTGAGCACCACATTCAGGACTGGTTTTGGCACAGTGGATCATTGGCAGATGGGATCTTATCAATTAACTCAGTCAAATGAAACTGTATTTTTCTCTGCAATGGGTGGGCCTCAAGGATGCGCGCACACAAAGGATAAGCTCGCAAGCTTCTCTCTCACCAACAGACATTGGTCCAAAAAAAATAGATATTACCTCACCTACCGTGTCGTTAAGATCTGGCAATAACAGAGCTACACTAGACAGTCTTTTCATGTGAGGACGAGGACATTTGTCCTAGCAGCAGTGTATTTTAAGTTGAAATATCACTACTTTGTGAAGTCATTCAATGGCCACATCTGATATCAAGCTGCCAGGCTCTCTTCACATTCCTGTTAGAGTTTCACAGTCAGGGTGGATTCCTAAGAAAAACTAGAACTGCGCAAAAACAGCAAGGCATCCGCTGTTACCTAACATTTATTTGGGCATAAGTTTTCGTGGGTAAAAAACCCACTGCTTCAGATGAATGGCAGTTTCACTAGTTATTGGAATACAGTACTTTACACCAGTTGTGCTGACTACAGCATTAATATCACGGCTAAGGTTCTGTTTACCCTGCGAACCTGCCATCTCGAACATCCTTGTGTCTATGCTAAGTAGGGGCAGCAGCACTGGGGCAGTGCTATGTTTTGCTCACAGGTGCCTAGTGAAGTCAATGGCAAAGCTCCCATTGATTTTAGTGGTGCCGGACTCAGTCCCTGATGTCAGTTTCTGTAGTATAAACACCACCCACAGGGTGAGGTAAAAACCCAGATCAGAAGTAGATGGCGGTGTGGGCATTTTCACTCCATGAAAGTTGCATCAGGCCCTTGTGCTCAATTCTAGGCTATGGAATGCTAGGAAATTGAGTGTGCAGAAGGAAATGCACAAACTCCCGCAGTATTGTCAATTAATCACAGCTGTTCAATCAAAGGCAGTGCTAAGACTCCATGAACTTTTCCTGGAGAAGTCCTGTCATAGCACAGCTTGTGAAGAGACATCTGGGGCAGGGGTTTCAAAAGCACGAAATATCAATGGGAGCAGAGTTAAGCCATTTGTTAGAAAATGCTAGTTCATCAAAACCAAAACTTTTTGCAGGAATGGATCAGTTTCAGTGAAGTTTTCTGTTCAGGAAAAAAAAAAGTTTGCAACAATTTAGAATCTCCTATTTGGACATTTTGAAAGTTTTTAAAATAAAGTTAAGGAAAAATCTAAACAAAGATTTTTGAAATGATCAAAATGAAGCATTTCGGTTGACCTAATCTGAATCTTTTTTGTTTACAATTTTGTTTTTAGATTAACTTTTTGGGCCTGATTGGGGAGTGGAAAATTATTTCTCCCCCGCCCCCCAAATCTCTAATGATCAGTACTGTTGAAAATTCTGCCCTTATTATTATCAAAACCACCATTCATATAAACATTTCACTACGTTTGGGAGCTGTCACGAACCCACAGCACACTTGGGCTATTAGGGGTCTGGCCCAGCTGCTCACACGATTCCTATAACACTGGTGATTACGGCTTGTCAGATGATCAAGTTAATGTGTAGAGACCGATCTAGGTCTATAGTAAGACCAATGTTTATATTGCCTCTCAAACTAGGGAGATGTGATTCATAGTTGCATGAAAGTGCTCAATGCTGTTTAGTGGTAACTTGTAAACCCGGCAAATAATTAAAATAAAATCGGATACAGTTTACATGCATTATTCAATCACCCTTTTTTGTTTTGCTTTAAGTATCACTAATAATTGGTAAATGTAAAAGTCAAAGCTATACTTAAGCTCTCTACCTATGTGCTCTTAGCAGTGATGTGCTATCTTGTGCCCTGTTACTACTGACCTATTTTAGGCTTGGTCTACACTAAACCCCCAAATCGAACTAAGGTACGCAACTTCAGCTACGTGAATAACGTAGCTGAAGTCGACGTACCTTAGTTCGAACTTACCGCGGTCCACACCCGGCAGGCAGGCTCCCCTGTCGACTCCGCGTACTCCTCGCGACGAGCAGGATTACTGGAGTAGACGGGGAGCACTTCTGAGTTCGATTTATCGCGTCCAGATTAGACGTGATAAATCGAACCCAGAAGTTCGATTGCCTGCCGCCGAACCAGCGCGTAAGTATAGACAAGCCCTTAGACACCTTTGCCAGTAATGCACATCCTCTTTGAACCTAAACTAAATTGGTTATTCAGTCAAACGGTTCTTAGCTCAGTTGGTCACAGAATGTAGTGTTAGAAGAGAAAGGTGGAACCCTCATCCTCTAACTTGTCAACATGAGGTTCTTGGTGCATTGAGTAGTTGAACAGTCTCATTTTTGAAGTTAATTTGCATGCACTTACACTGTTTCTGTCCAAGATTCCCAGGAAGAAGGTGACATTGGGACTGTGTGCTGACACCATCAAGAACAAATTGAACTGTAGCTGGATCGATGTGGTATAAATTGCGCTACAGAGCAAAGCAACAGAGTCCTGTGGCACCTTTAAGACTAACAGATGTATTGGAGCATAAGCTTTTGTGGGTGAATGCCCACTTCGTCGGATGCATGCTACAGAGCAAAACGTTTAGTATTGCTTTTCTCTATGCATTCAGCATGGGTACACAGCTTGGTCCTGGCTATAAGTGTATTTTGGAGATATTAAGCAATGAAACCATATTCCCTTTAGCTTTTATTATAATCCAAACCAGGTACCACTTTGTTTTTGACATAATACTGTGTTCTAGCAATCATCAGTTCAAAAGGAGTACAAAGTAGAACATATATAAATAAATAACTTTTCATCAAATGAGCAGCTAAATTAATCTTTTAAAGCAACAAAGTTTCTTGTACCCAGCTGTGGCGAGGGAGGGTGTAACATATTAAGTTTGTGCAGTGGAACAGAGTGCAAAACACCTTAAACAAACTTGCCTTTAAACATCTCAAGGATAAACGGGTTAGTATCTCAGCTCTTTGGGTCCTGACCAAGTTTATTTGCAAAGACGCATTGCTCATTTGATGAAAGATGAGGTTACAAATACTGAGTCTGATCTACTATGCTACAACCAACCATTATTTGATATACATACTACTACAAACCAGATTGCATTTCATGTGATGCTGGAAGAAGCACTCACGTGTAAGTCAAGTCTCATTAGTTGAACAAAGTTTGCACAATCCCCAGAGTCCTTGTCACCCACGAGTATCAAATGCTCCTCTATGGAACCAGGACTTACAGTACATTTTGGAACTTAAATGTGAGTGCTTTTAACTTATCAAATGTTTATTTTATTACAGCACCGTGGCCAATGGTAAACTACAATGAAAGACTGCTCACAAGTTCAAAAATCAAGTGATGCAGCACGTCCACACAGTGGTGCCAGGGATCTTTGGCTACCAAGCATGAAAACACATTTGTACATCTTTACATAAATATGTATTTTGATTAAAATTCCAGGCCCACAATAAAAAAAAAATTAGAGGATGAGCCACAGGAGTCCAATAATTGCCCCCTGGTGAAAAACCACATTTGAACGACTGCATCTCTATTATAGAGTAAAAATGAAATGCTTCCCAAAGTTTGTGATCCTCTATTGAGCATGGAATTCCAACAGCATTTCTTCCAGGTGTGTGGCTTTTTACACACTGGTTCACAGTCTGCTTGCAGGGGTGAGCTGTGTACAATAGCCTCAAACCTCTTAGGCCCAGTATTCAGTCACCAAAAGAATTCCTGTGTGGTTAGTGTGAGCTAAGACAGATTCTGCAGAAGGACCAGGGGCTTGTTTACAAGCTGACTCTTGTTTTCCTCCAACAGGGTGGCTGTATGACCTAATGTTTCACAGGCTGGAAAACTCTCCTGGGAGAGAACAGGTAGGATATTCTAGCTGCCACAGCTACAAGAGAAGAGGGAACAATGTGAGATCTTATAGAAGGCTCAGGAGCACAGGTCAAACTGCCCTCTCCACCTCTGCTGTGGGATGCCACCATTGCCTCTGTTGGACTGATTCATACCTACTCAAATGCTATTGGTTTTCGCCAGGGGTAGGCAGGGTAGAGCTACCCAAGCTAGCTTTAATGGAGCTAGTTGCCTGAGGAAAGCAGGCCCTAGCTAGCACCACCCTGCTGTTGGTACCCACACCCTACGTGTCTGAAAGCGAAACCCCTCCATCTGCCCAATGGAAACCCCTTTAGTGAGAGCTTGTCAGGTCCAGACCATAGGGCTCCTTTAGCTGATGATCGTGTCTACACTAGGTTGTATTAATCCTGCAAAATTTCAAAACCCAGAGGGCATGACAGTGCTAGGGGGGTGCCCCCACATTAAAAGCACGAAACCACAACCGTTTTCATCTTGCCCCACCTTTGCAATCAGTGACTGGTGCGGGGTGACGGGGAACTATGGAAATAGCAGCATTGCTGCCTGCGGTTACCTTCTTGACAGGTAGGTCCTATGTACCCATTAATGCAAGTGCACTGGCCATTCTGAGCGTTGCAGAAAGAGTTGACAGAGGCACAGTCACAGGTCAGGGTGCAATCTGGGCCAAATTGATCCATGCGGCAGTCTGGAGGGGTAAGAAAGGCAGAGAGATTGTTGGGAGGAGCTGGAATTATTTCAGCGCGTTAGCTTGCAGTTCTGTCCACGCATGGCCTGATACTGAGGTGACAGAACTAAGCACAGGCCTGGTGCAAGGTAAGGGGGCAGTTTGCCCCAGGAGAGAGATGGGACAGGCTCCTCCCAAACTGTACCTTACCCCTGGATTTGTTATACCACCCCAAGGACCCAGAGCGCAGTTCAGGTTCCATTCAGTTGTTGGCTTCTTGACTCCAGCTAACAATCAGGGTAGAAGAGTGTGTTGTGATGGGCCACCCACCCCCTAAGGGTGAGATGGACCATGGCATTGAGTCACCGCTGGGCGACCTAGAGGTGAACGGCCCCACATCCCACAGGAGCACCTGGAGCCATCCAGTCCTCCACATCAATCATTCCATATAACTTCAGTACTTGTGCCCATTGGCTCTCAAGGTCACATTCATAAAACACAATTTTCCTCTCGCATTAGGGTAAGGCTGGTGCAAGAAGAACCAGGTCGGATGCCTTCTGGCTAGGCTGCAAAAATGCCCCTCCCTTTAGTAGTCCCAGCCCCAGACAGGAGAGTGATGATAGTGCGTCAGTCTTAAGATCATCACTTGCACACCTGTTACGGCTGTTGCAAATAATCCACACTCACCCAGGTCACACTTGGTGCCAGTTTTTCCTGGCGGACACAGGCAGCGCCCAGTGACTGGATCACATGGTGCGTTTCCTTCACAGTCACACAACTGCTGGCAACGCTCTCCGTACCGCCCCTCCTCGCAGCCTGTTAGCACAAGAGAAAGGGTGAAGGGCAGCACAAGGATCTCCGGCCCTTCGGTCTGTGCTTTTTCACACAGCCAGTCTTCCCAGTTCTGAGCCAATACTGTGGGACTCCCCGCCCAAGACAAGAGACAGTCGTCTTTACCTGGAAATGATCCCAAGGCACCGGGAAACCCTGCATGTTTCTTCCCTCTGAGGGCAATGCCCTGTTAGTAGGAGGCCTTTGTCACTGGCTTTTGTGACAGAAGCTGATTCTGGGGTGGCGATTGGCCCTGTGCACTCAGTTTAGTAATTATCTCCAGGGGGATGTTGTGCAAAACAGAAAATTTTGGGGGAGAGATAACGAATTGCTTGATTATTTATGTATTTTTGTGCCTTTGCTTGTCTAAATTGGAGGCATTCCAACTGGCTCGAGATAGCAGAAAACTGGAGTCTAAGAAATGTTGTCTAGGATCAGAGCAGCGCACCAGGGGTCCATTGCGGTCTCCACCTTCCCTACCTGTGTGAACACCACAGTGGGGCTGGCTGGCACTACTTCCTACCTCAGTGGGTTTGATGTTTGACGAGTGGGTGGCAAGCACTCTGGTTAGTGAATGCTACCTCATAGTTACAGGGCCAGAGCCCTTTTAAGATGATCTTGACACATGTCCTGTTTGCCAGCAGTACCTTCCCCACAATGCCCCGCTGAGTGCCGTTGAGGCCAGCTGGAAGTACATTCACTGACGGCAGTGGGGGCACTATAGATTCGCACACTAGTATAAGAGAGATCAGCAGTGACAACACATCACCTTTTGAGGGGCAATACGCTGAAGTGATCTATACCTGTCTGACAGCGGTCTTTGTGGAAGCCAGCAGGACACAGACACTGACCGGTCACTGGGTCACAAGTTGCTCCATTCTGACAATCACACAACTCCTGACAACGCAGTCCATGGAAACCTGGAGGGCAGGCTGGGAAGGAAGCCAGGTGGAAAGTTCATTAGTAAACACAGATCGCTTCAATGGGGCCTTATTTGCTGGGGGTCCCAGCAGCTCACCCTCCCGCTAACCCGTGGGAGGAAGGTTACACTGGGAAGTTTCAAGATGCAGAGGGACAATCCTGCTCTGTGTTGGGGGGGGGGGGGAGGAGAGGGATTAACCAGTGGCCCACTGCTCTCAGTCTCTCTTTTAGCTCCCTGCTGCACACTGGATCCACAAATAATCATCATTTATTACCAAGGCTTTGGAGCGGAGTCCAGAGCTGGAGCCCGGCGCAGTGGAGCTGCAGCGGAGCACAGCTCCAAAGCCCTGTTTATTACTGGAGTGCCTAGGAGCCCTGGTCACGGAGCAGGCCCCCGTTGTGCCAGGCACTGTACAAACATCGAGCAAAGAGCTTGCAAACTACCCACAGTCAGCTCCTGAAATTCAGGAAGATTGTTGAGTGTAATGTCTTACTCTTTCCACGGATCTCAATAGCAAAAAAGATCTAAGCTCAGAACACAACAACTCCCTCTTCACCCATCTGAACTATTTCACGGACATCCTGGGCTGGCCATGGTAGGCTTTGCCCATGGAAGTTCTCTTCCATTTTAGTGAACAACAGGGGAAGATTTAAGGTGAAAAATGCAAAACGTCGTGTGGGAGACAAGGTGGGTGAGGTGATATCTTTTATTGCACTAACGTCTGTTGGTGAGAGAGAGAAGCTTTTGAGCCACACAGAGCTCTTCCTCAGATTAGGGCAAGGTGCTCTGAGTATCACAGCTAAATGCAAGATGGAACAGGTTGTTTAGCATAAGTAGTAAGCACACGTTCTAAGGGACAATTCAAGGTAGAGTGGCCCATTAACACCTCTGCACTCATAGGACAAAAAGGGTGTGTTGGAGGGTTACAGATCGTAGATGTAAGCCATAAATCCAGTGTCTCTGTTCAGTCTACGAGTGTGTGAAACTACCCAAAGTGTGCCAGTCTTTCCCTTTGATGCAGGTGTGTGGTAGCACTGCCTTTCTCACAATACTGCTAAGGAATCTGGGTTTGTATTTGTCTGACCAGAGCACACGAACGAAACAAAATATTGCTGACATTACAGTAGGGTGACCAGATGTCCCAATTTTATAGGGACAGTCCCGATTTTTGGGTCTTTTTCTTATATAGGCTCCTATTTACCCCCCACCCCCATCCCGATTTTTCACATTTGCTGTCTGGTCACCCTACATTACAGTAGGGACCATGTTGCTGTTTTTTTGTACTCTGGCTTGTTTTTAAGCAGTTGCTAATGTGGGTCAGGTTATGTGTGCACACGCCAAGCACACACAAAGGACAGGACATTCAAACCAACAGCATCTTTAACTTGACTGATAACCTGCCTGTGGAGTACAGGGCTGCCAGACACACACACCAGTGCAATTTCAACTGGGCTGTGCAATGTTATGACCAACACTAGGTTGACAAGTGTCACGTGTCAGGGCTGAAGGAGCTCACCAGGCTGCTTTGTCCACATGCCTCCTTTTTACCCCTCCCCAGGACAGAGCAGTGGGGAGCTGGCCAGGTGCATTACCAAGAGGTCTTACAGTGTGTGGATGCCTCTGGTTTTGGCCTCTGCCAGAGGCAGGATACTAGACTTGATGGACCTCCTGGCATCCCTCCCCAGCTGCATGTGTGTGTATGGAAGTGATGGTGCCATTGGGCCTCTCACTTGCTGTGATGTTCAAACTGCCCCCATGCGAGTCAGATCCGCCCCTCTGCCTTATGTCCCCTGGTGCCCACATTAAACAGCTTTACAACACGCAGCCGCGGAGGGCAGAAGGAGCAGCCGTTCCGCTGCTTGAACTTACTGTGCTCGCATAAGTGCCCATAGTGCCCTCTGCGACAGTGGCAGGCTCCCGTCACTGGGTCACAAGTCCCATTATTCCGGCATGCACAGTTCAGCTGGCAGTTGGCGCCGTACTTCCCGGGTGGGCATTCTGCGGGGAACATGTTTCAGAGAGAGGAACTGGCGCACGGCTCATACGCGAGCACGTCCTGTGCAGCAGGTGACCTGGGGCCAGGCCAGGCCGCACAGGGTGCCCTGCGAGGGAGGGCACAGCTACGCATGTGGCCGTGGCAAAGAGGGCATCAATTCTAAACACAAACTCAGTTAGTTTAACAGTTGCAAGGCCAGTGCCAGGACAGAGCACCTCCAGGGGGTTTACCCAGTTCGCAGAATTTCCCGGTCCGCCCAAGCCCACACGAACAGGAGCCGTCGGCCGCATGACAGATTCCTCCATTCTGGCAGGAACACGTCTGCTTGCAGCCTGCCCCGTACTGGTTTTCTGGCAGACTGAAAAAGACAAAGGAGGGGAGAGTGGGAACCCAAATCCCGATATGATCAAACAGATACTAAACCAATGGGGCTAGGGTAGCTTGTCTGTACCCAACCCTACAGCCCTTTCCAAACCACAGTGGTGAAATACCCAAGCTTGGTTAAATGGCACCATGGTGAATGTTTACCGTGTTCACAGCTGGCACCAGTTCTTCCTGCTGGACAAATGCAGATGCCTGTCACATGGTGACAGGTGGCTCCTTCTCCACAGGAACACAGGTGCATGCAGTCCTTGCCATAGCGACCAATAGGGCAGCCTAGGAGAGGGGAGAGGAGAGATGGTGACATTAGCATTCTTAGAAGCAGGCTATGGGCTGAAAAGGAAGGGTTTTGGTTTGGCTTGGAGGGGAATGTGTCTGGTGGTTAGCGCTCTGAGACAAGGAGTCAGGACTCGGGTTCTTTTCAAGGCTCTGCCACTAACGATGTGATCTTAGGCTTGATTTGGTAGAGAAGACGAGCCGTCTAGATCACTTGTGCTGAAGGAGGAAAGCATTTTAACAGAGGCTCCAGAGCCAAGCAATGGGATGGTGCAAGCGTGAACTGCCAGATTAATGCAGCACTTCCACGTGTGGCAGACATTATGGTGCAGGAAAACCCCCCAGGAAGAAAGCGATTCCATTTCAATAAAAGCAAGAAATTAAATCAGTTGTAGGAGCTGTAATAGTGGACAGGCTCTTTGTCCACCAGTCTCTCCGGTGTGATTCAGAGGAAGAAAATGTAGTGCCCACAGCCAATGGTGTAGTGTTGTACCTGGGAAAAAGGCTTCTTTCCTGAGCCTGCAGATGAGCCACTCATGCCATGAATCATAGGACTGTAAGGGACCTCAAGAGGTCATCTAATCCCAGTCCCCTGCACTCACGGCAGAACTGAGTATTAACTAGACCATCCCTGACAGGTGTTTGTCCAACCTGCTCTTAAAAATCTCCAATGATGGAGATTCCACAACCTCCTTAGGGAGTTTATTTCAGTGCTTGCTTAGCCACCCTGACTGTTAGGAAGCATGAAATCATCTCTCTGTCTGCACATCATGACCATCTTAAATGCCTACCTGTTTCTGTAGCTCCCTCTGGTAAAATCCGTTTTGGCAACAGCTTGAATTTTTGCAGCAATTCACTTTCCCTTTGTTTAGCTGATGCATCATTAGAACCATAACAACGCTTGGAGAAAAAACACCCATCCCCAATGAGTAATAAGAAAATTCCCTTCGACAAAGGTATTTTTGGCAGGGTCACTATCGGTCCTGCAGGGGTTTTGACAGAAAACGTTTTGCTGGAACCCAAGAGGCAAAAGCTTCATGACTCTGTTCTTAGAAGATGAACCAAAGCTGTCAAGACTCTTCCGCATTAAGGAGTTTATTAGTATTTTGTAGAGGGGGGGGGGGTTATTATTCTCTTTTGTGGCACATTTACTATGTGACTCCCTTCCGCTGCTACTGTCTAAAACCTTTCCAGTGTAAGAAACACCCCAAACTTATGGATTTTTGCTTTTACTGTAATTCTGGACAGTGAATCATCGAAAACAGGAGTCAGAGGAAGGAGGAATGGTCCATGCATTTCAGCAGTAATTGAGAATTCACTCCCAGCACTTCCTCTGCTAGTAGGCAGTGGAAGATACTCGGTGTAATGTTTTGCAAAGCTGGACTTGGAAGGCAAATGTGCTGCTTGAAGTCTGCCTGCAATGTTCTTAGACTGTGGCCTGCATCACAACTCCTGCTCTCTCTTGAAGGGCAGCATCTCATTCATGTGCATGGCGGTAAAGGAAGCTGCACGTGGGCAGCTAATACCAGGATTCACCCCATTGAGATTTAAAGCAGCCTGCTACTCAGTCTCAGACTTCCCCGGGCAATACCCTGCACACTCACCGATACTGCAGTCAGCGCCGACGTACCCAGCGGGACACTGACATGTCCCTGTGGTGGTCTCACAGCGTCCTCCATTCCTGCACTTACACTGCTGCTCACAATTGGGGCCATACGAACCAGCTGAACATCCTAGGGGGGAAATTAAAAAAACCCAATGCTTAGAAGAACGGCAAAGCCCAGACACTGATCATGTGGCATGTGCATTGACATTCACAATGCAAGTGTCTCCCCCACCAATCGCTGATGACAAGGCAAGATGATTAGAAATAGATTACCAACATGCTGCGCGCTAAGGGGTCCGCCGATGTACTCATCAACAAACGTTTGTAAAGACATTGTTAACCCTGTTTTACTTGCTTGTAAAACAACAATTGATATTGGTGAGTAAATGTTGTTGGTATGAATATATGCCAGCGAATGACACCATCCAATTCACTTCACTCAGTGAGAGGAGGTGGGAGAAGGTCATTTCCTGTCTGTTTTGAGTGAGAAGCTGCTGATTTCCTGACTAATCCGAACAAAGATCTCCTGGTGAGCCAGAGAAAGCGGCCCAGCTGACACGACATGCACACCAGCAGGATGAAGATTCAGGAAGCCAGGTCTGGTTTTGCCTAATGGACTGCGTGATGGAATGGACTGTTTTGATTAGATACAACCCACATATTGTGACAGAAATAATCAAAGCGCAAGGCCATCCTGGGTTCCTTCATCCTCCTAGCACCTGCGGACATAAAGCACAGCATAAAGAATGGGGAAGTGCTCACAGCTCCTAGGCACTGGCTGCTCATTTTATCTTGCATTAACCAAATCTTAGAGAACTATACAAAATAATCAGCGACATCCCTGTTTTTCAAGTAGGCTCCTAATGGAAAAGCTATTAGTGCCGTGAAAATACATTTTTTAAAACCACCGCATAGAAAACTTTGAACAAAAATGAAATTGGGGGGGATTATTTCAAGAGGGTTGCAATAAGGTGCCCATCAATCCCCGCCCTTCCTCCAGCTGCACCGTCAAAAGGAGGAAGGTGAAAGTGTCTCTCAATAGCCCTCCTTGCTCTTGGCAGAGGGAAACTGATCCAAGGAGTTTTACTCTTAGAGGAAAAGAGCAGGAAAAAGTTCTCTGTTGATCATACTACGTAGCCACCTTGTCCATGGGTTAGATGGGAAATGGCAGCATGTGGCACGTGTGTATATTAAATTGTTTTTGATGGCACAAAATGTAACTCACTGATTAGTAAGAGAATGTGTGTATGGGTGAGAGGGAGCGTGCGTGTGTGGGCGTGGATTGATGGATGGATGTGAGAGGGACATAGGACGGAGGACCAAAGGGAACAGAAAACGCCTGCTTGGGCAGAATCATTTCCCCCATTACAGGCAAGGTTCACAAAGACATAACCTGGGAAATGTTTTAAAAAATCTCAAACTGCACGAGTGAGGGGAAAGGGAAGCACAGTGCGAAGCTGGGATGACAGCCAATCCGAATGCAGGAGGTGCCATATTGGCGCTGTCCCAAGGCTCCTGGAGTTCAGTTCCTGGCCATGACTAATATCCAGTGCTGCAGAGGAAGGTGGAGTCCCCTCTCCTCTGATTAGTTAATTGTGAATGCTACCAGACACTTCCTTCCTGACCCCATCAGCTTATGCCCTGATACATGACCATGGCCTCACCTTGGAACACTCAGCATGAAGAACACAGTCCCTGATTGGCTAGCATCCAGCAGAGACGCTGTAGGTGAAGTCACATGAACCTTGACAACGCGGAAGACAAAGTTTAGCGCAAACTCACTTAGCTGGCAATTTCTTCCATGGTAACCAGGTGCACAGATACACGCCCCAGTGACAGGGTGACAGTCTTGGTTCACTTCTGGACACTGGCAAGCCTGAGCACAGTTCAGCCCAAAGGTCCCTGGTAGACAGGCTGTAGGAAGGAAGGAAGGAAGGAAGATGAAGACACCACAACCTTATTGTAGGGGCTCTTGGTCTCCCCCCCAAACCCCACTCCCTAATGTAGGTCAGATTTAGAACTCCACTATAGAGCAGGACTTATTGGTATCAAAACCCAGAATGGCATTTAGTGCACATGGTGTTCATCCGCCACTCAAAGCCAGGGGAAATGGGAACCAGTCTCGCTGGTGTATCCTGTTGTGAGGACCATGGGGGTAGTTGCTAGGATGTACAAAGGAGTGTGGGATTGAAGAGGATCGGAAGTATTTTCAGATACTAGATGCCCTCTGCAATCATGCATCCACACATGCACGGAGAGCTCTGAAATACATACACTTACAGCACTGAAGAATGTGCTCGCATGCCTCTGTCTTTCCCAGACTTGCTCATATCCACAGGAGCTCGCTCTTACTCTGATTTATTGCTAATCCTTTGGATGGAATATGCTGCTCTGGTTTCCCACTTGGCTCCCTTTGCTCTGTTATGATTCTGTGGGCATGCACCACCTGCCAAAGTGTGAGCTGCTATTTGGCAACGCATTGGGGTTTTTTTAGTAGTAATGGATTGACCCGTCTAGTTCCCTGGACTCTGCTAGTAACTGTAGAAGGGCTGTTCCCTCCTCCGTACATTGTTCACATCCATGGCCCATAAATCCTGGCGGGCAGCCACACTGGCCAGTGACATGGTTACAAGGCGTTCCTGGGGGGCAGTCGCAGCGGCTGGCACAGTCCTTCCCAAATGAACCAAGCAGGCAGGCTGTGGGAAGGAAACAAGGCGGGGAAAAGAAATCAAGACAAAAGGCTTGCAAATTCTTCCTAGTGCCCAGCACCAGCAGGAATTTGATGGCCCCAAAATCAAGTGTAATTAAAGGGTTAATGCGATATTGCTGTAGCCTTTCTGGAAACGTGAAAGAAATGCCCCACAGAATACCACTGTGCGCTGAAGACGTGTCGTGTCCCAACCGGGCATCGTCTGTCCAAGGAGTTGCTAAGAAGCCGATGTCTCCTTCCTTCCTTTGAGCAAATCTCAAAGTCTGGCTGCTTCCCCCAATCATCCCAATGCCCCCTTTCCTCGACACACTTCTCTTTCTAGTGCATTGAGAGATGCCAGACTGACAGGCTAAGAAAACAGTCCTCTTAGCCGAATAGGTACAGCAGGGCACCAGCCATACAAGCTTCCCCGAAGCTACCTTGGCCTGGAGGGTCTGTGAGAGAGGTGAGTGGGAGTTCAGTTTCTGTGACCCATTTAGTCCTGGGCCTCTGCTGAGATGTCTTGGTGCCTATCAGTGCCAATAATGCTGTGGCTATCTGTCTACTGGGGACTGTACTGGGCTTGAACTCTGACATCAGCCAGCCGGCAGCATTTGTTACAGCAACTGAGGTAAACGCCTCTTTCTATAGCCCATTGCGCCCATCCCCTGAGCCATCTACTCTCACTTTGTCTGTTACTCTAGAGGCTCGTTCCCAAAACATCCAGGCTCCGTGGCTTCATCTGAGGCTGAAACGTAACAAGAACAGCCTGAGCAGCAGAGACGACGTGAGGAGGGGTGTGATTCTCTCACCTTTCTCACAACGCTGGCCCCTCCAGCCCGTGGGGCAGTCGCAGGCGCCAGTGATGTGATGACACGAGACTCCATCCCCACAGGCGCACTGCTCTGCACAGTGCTCTCCGAATGTACCCTCCGGGCAAGCTGCAGAGATTCAAACGTACAGAGAGGTGGGGGTTACAGGGGTGCTACAGAATGAATACGGGCATGGTCTGGTTTCATTACACAGGGCAATTCAAACTATGCTCGCCAGGCACAAAGAACTTCAAACGTTTATTTTATGTCCCTTTCGTTTTCTCATGTCAGGGGGTGAAGTTTTATGTTTCACTTCATGTTTGACAAGTCAGATGGGATCTGTCAGTCTGCAGGGCTTCGCCTAACGAGACTGGGAACAGGATCAAATAGATCAGACTTGTTTCTTTTCTTTGGTGGTGGCGCTAGGTACCAGACTGACAGCTCTGGAGAATGGGGTCCTTCATTCATCCCCAGACGAGGTACACCATGGGCAGCAGCTGGGCAAGCTTCCCAACACTGCTTGGCTGGAGCACTGAAAGGGTCCCTGTACCGCGGCTGCTTTAGGAGCAGGAGAAGAGTTTAATCTCTGTAGCCCAGTCAGTCCTTGGCCTCTCGACTGAGACCATCAACAAGGGAGCCAGTTAGTGCCAACTGTGCTGCTGCTTTACCTGTCAAAGGGGAAACTTGTTGACTGGGAATAAACTCGTGACACTGGCCACTGTCCAGTCACCAGACAATAACGTGTTAATCACCACTGCTATGGGCAACAGCGAATCCGTGAGCGCCGGGGAAAAGGCTCCATCTCCCATTATCCATCGTCTGAAATCGCCAGTCCGCTGGGCAATCCATTGACTCAGCATTTCTTTGCACTCTCCGTAACAATCTTCGCTTGTTTCTAAAAGTGGGATTTTCTGATTCTTCTGTTCATAAAGCGAAGTCATAAGGTCAGTTGGGCCAAATTCAGCCTTGGCCTAAACAGTTCCAACTCCCACGGAAGTCAGCGGAGTTGCACACATCTACGTCAGGGCTGAACTTGGCACTTCCTGTTGGATTTGTGACATCACCATTACCTTTGAGACAACAGACCATGAGGTCAGAAACTTTGGCAGAATTCAGGGCCGGGAGAAAGTGGGTGCTGAGGCGAGGAGAAGAGCTGAGCCACGCAGAAAGAGGGGAAGAAAGAAAGTTGTGAGCCGACAAACTGCTCTTTGCATAAACATTCTCTTCTTCTTAATTTGGTGTGAAAGTCTCTCTCTCTCTAACAGTGCCAAATGTTTTTGGAAGCATTATTCCTGGCACCATTTAGTGAGAGCTGGTGGCCAGGATAGCATCACCATCAGGGCCATTCTCCTCCTGTCATCTGTGAGGAAGTGAGAGGCTGGTTCTTAAAGCAGATGGAAACCAGAAAAGACAGTCGTTGTCTGAATTTTAGAGAAGTTAGTTGCACAAACTACACAACTAATTGGCAACTAGTCAACAGGACTGAGTGCACAAATTCAGTAACTGCATGTACAAATGACAAAATAGGTGCATTTGCCCATGCACTCACCCAATTTGCACATGCAATTGGGGTAACTGCAAGCATAGATTAGGGACATAGTTGTGCATATACTGTGTGTGCACGTTTGCACACCTAACTTTTCTAAAAAAACAAGCCCTAAAAAGAAGTCAAATAAAGGAGTCTGACTTTTGGTGGGGATGGGGTAAGCTAGCAAGGGATAGGCATTGCTGGGCTTTTTAAATCTTAATGTCAATATAGACAGTGGTCTCAATGTAGTGAAATTCTGCCTACAGTGAGACAGAAAAAGTCCCGAATAGTTTCACTGCAAAGCATCGTTCTGGTTATGACGATCCATTGCTTCAAGCTGCCCTGTGAAAAGCAACGACTTGACTAGAGGAGGGTCATGTGCAAAGAGTTCCATATAACACAGCGACATGGACCTGTGATTTGGTAAAGTGCCTTGAGGCTGACTTGAACACCCAGCCAAGATGATGGTGCCTGCCAGTCCCCAAAGATGGTGGATGGTTAAGTGAGATGTGTGTTTTACGTTACAGTACTTGAGGCTGTACTGAGGGTGTGCCAAGTCTAGTCAAACCTCTTTATGGCATGGATCTCATTATCTGCTTTTCTCCTCAGACAGAAGAACCAGATGGCTAAGGTCCAATGCAAATAAGTGAGGGTAACAAGCAGGGAGGCTATGGAACAGAGCAGATATTTGGAATCTTCCACTGAGCGTTTGCTTCTGTGGGTAATTCTCTCCTGTACTTTCTAATTGGAAGGAGAAACAGAACCGTATCCTGGCATGGCTGGTTGCAATTTGCATCATGACACCACATCCAGGTCTGGAAAACACTAAAATAAATTTCACCGGCACCATCAGAACTCTGCCGTGGCCCCTCATGCACACTGGCCCAAGAAGAGCTCAATGCCACGTAGCAGAACACTCGATATTCTGCTTGGAGAAGGCTCAGAAGCTTCTGAAGGTTCCGTTCAGAGCAGAATCCAAAAATTCAGATACTTTTCTTCTAACCATGAGGTCGGATATCTCACAAGAGCACATCCTGCTTTCATCTGAGTCTGAAATCCCCCAGAGCTGCCTTATACACCTCAATGGAATGCCCATGGTCGGGGGTGAAAAATCAAGCAGAAATAGAAGGGGTTCAGAGAGAGAGAGAGGACAAAAACTACTAGAACCCTGGAATGACCTGTGTGAAGAGAGGCTGAGAGGGAGCGGAACAAGGCTACATGTAATGTAACGTGTACACAGCTCAGCCAGAGAGTGCATCAGTGAAAGGGATACTCATGAAAGGGATACTCGGGAAGGAGAAGATTAGGATTTCTCAGCTTTGCAAAGCCTCCAACAGCTCTTGAAACTTGCCTGACCTTCGTCCCACATTAAGAAATGTTCCAGCAACCTCATATTACAGGCCACAGCCTGCTTCCTGCTAATGATCCAGGGAACAAAGCAGCCACACACCCACAATACCTACAAGAGCCCAGAACCAAAACAGTGACACCGTAAACACCTTGTAAATGTCAGGGCTTTTCCTAGCCATGCTGCTGAGGGTGGGAATGGCTGCGGCAGACAACTCACTCACGCCCCTGGCTTCAGCTGATCACCAGCCTCAGACTAATAACCCCCTTCACAATGGCCTACGCTTGCTGTGGCTGCTGGAACTTCTGGGAGGGGAGGGGCTCCCCTTTGCTGATCTTCTGGGACTTGATCCAGTCCCTGAGGCTCCCCTTTCTCAAGCCAGCCTCCCTTTCAACACTAGCTAATAGCAAAGGGCTCGCCAGGGTACTTAGTGAAGTCTGTAGATAAGATGAATACGAGGGCCGACAGAAGGCAGGCCTAAGAGCTTGCTGGTGCTTAGGACAGAAGCCAGGTAGTTCAGGTCTGCACAATGGTGCCAGCAGTGAGTAAGCTCAGAAGCTGGAAAGGGGGAAGAAGGGAAGGAGATCTGGAGCAGCATAAAGCTATTAAAGTCTTGGGTCAGGAGGAGGTCTTCCTATGACATTTCAGCTTCACTCGGTCTTCCATTGCCATCTGCTGCTCAGGGGCAGGCTGTGTATCTGTCTCATTCAGGGTCTGCTCCTGGAGGTTTGCCATTGACTTCGGGGGAGCAGGATGACACGTTAGGATTTCTGGGAAAGGACATGGCCTTTTCGGGACTGTACAGCGCTGCGTTCACGCAGGATAACATTGCTTTTGTTCAGACCTTGAGGGGAGCACAGCGACAGGCAGAACAAGTTTGCAAAGCTAAAACCATGGCATGTTTCTCTTGAGCTGTGCAAGCCAAACGTTGGGCCCTTTATTTACTCAATTCCCTGGCACCTAGAACAGATGCACCAAGCAAAGTATCTGCTACCTCCAGCAGAGAGGACTTGTGCTTTTCTCGTTGTATCAAAAGCAGCCTTTTAAAAAAACAAGGTAACTCGACTTCCCTGAACCTCAGGATGGTTCCATCTGAGGGAGGGCTCAGGCCAGCCAACCCCGTTCCCTTGTCCTGGCAGGTAAGCAGGAGCTACAACTATTGGTGGGCTCCTGTGGCTTTCACTTACCGCTTTGGCACTGCTGCCCAGTCCAGCCAGCCCGGCAGATGCAGTGGCCTGTCTGATGGTCACACAGCCCCCTGTTCTGGCAGTCGCAGGCTTGCTTGCAATCCACACCATACCGTCCTTGTGCACATTCTAGGGGAAGCCAGAGAGTTGACTGAAGTGGTTTTGGAAATAGCACCAGAAATACAAACCCACAACTCCTTCTTGAGGACAGAAAGTAAGGATGTGTCTACAGGGCAGCTGGGAGCAGCCCCCCCAGCCTGAGTAGAGAGACTTGCGCTAGCTTTGCTCAAGCAAGCACGCTAAAAATAGCAGTGTGGACACTGAAGCGCCGGTGGAGACGTGGGCTAACTGCCTGAGTTCGAGCCTGCCCAGATCCCTGTGTCTGAGCTTGCGTGGCTGGCCCTCACCTTCATGGGGTCTGCAATGTCCACACTGCTCTTTTTAGCACTCTCGCTCAAGCAGAGCTAGTGCCTGTCTGTCTGCCCATGCTGGGAGCCACATTCCCAGCTGCAGTGTAGACGTACTCTAGAGGGAGAAGGCTAATGACCCTGCTGTTATCACCAGATTGTTCTAAGACTGGCTACTGGAGTTAAGGCTCCACTGACCACTGGTGTTCCTCCCCTTGGGTGCAGACTTGACTGATTGTAGATGAGATTAGAAAGCACATTGTACTCCCCTCCTGGGCACGTGCTGCACCAGCTCAGACACACTCTGGTTCCAAATGGTTTTGATGCCAAACTCAAAATGTTCTGAAGTTGCATTGCTGTTTTTTGTTGGAAATTTGGTAGCCCCGTTTTTATTACATTTCAATACAAACATGGCCCAAACAATGTTCCCTGAGACTCCACAATGCTCCTCGCTATCCTTCTGCAGCCAAATTACTATTTTCTTGCAATCTTGGGGCATGAAATGACTGAAGTGACATTAGGGAAAACTTCTCGGGAGTGGGTCAAACGTGCAACAAACGTTCTGCAGGTTCCAACGGCCCGCGGTTAACATGGCCAGCTGCTCCACTCCTGGTGCTTACCCAGCTCACAAGCCAATCCAGTCCATCCTCCTAGGCACGTGCAGTGCCCCGTGACGGGGTCACACGTTCCGCCATTCCGACAGAGGCAGTGCTGGTGACAGTTCATGCCATAGAAACCATATGGACACGCTTGGGGGAAAATTAGGACAAAGACCAAAGTCAGAAACCAGCTCTCGACACTGGGTTTAAAATGCAGAGATCAGGCCTGTTGTAATGTAGGGGATGAGGAGGGGGGTTAGGAGTAGACAGAAATGAAATGGAGCTGCTACCACTAGAAATAAGTAACAAGAACACAATGCAGTAATGCCTGGGGGCTGCCTAGCTGGCCCCACAGGAAGGTTCTGCATTTTTACTTGCACATAAGGGGTGTCACGCCACAGGGGACTGGGCTGGGGTGGGGAAGGGAGAGAAACAGCAGAGAGGTGAGGGAGTCACGTGCATGGAAAACCTCGGTACCGTAACCTCTCCCTTCTCTTCCATGCTTTCCCCACCCTCTGCGAGCTTCCCCACAGCTCCCCCTTTAGCCATTTGGTGGTGCCTTGACCTCCTGAGCAGGTGGGCAGCAAAACAAGGTTTGGGAACCTCAGCTCTAGTTATTGATCCCCCCCTCTGGGAAATGGCACATGGAGCCCAGATTGGTGAGTGTGGGGGAATGTATTAGACTCCTGGGTCCCACTGGGGAAAGTCGCAACAAAACGTGGCACAGCGAGTTGGAAGACTGGAGGTTTATAGCCCATTGGAACAAGGAAGGTGGTTTTGGCTCACCAGCTAAACACAGCTTGGCACAAGGCTGCTATACGCTTGGCACAAGGCTGCTATACGCTTGGCTTTTCCAAAGGCCAGATGGGGGGCGGGGAGTGCCTTTCATAACACAGTAAACTTGGAAGAAAAGAGCCTTGATGCTGAACTATGCTTGGCCTGTGTTTTCCTGCAAAAGCTTTGTTGCTAGTGAAGATATTTCTCTGCTCCTTCCTGCCCCTGCAGGGAGGTCCATAACCCCGTGCTTGCCACTTCACCCGCTGCTGCCATAGAAACAAGCTAGGGCGTCACAAATAGAGCCTCACAACATCGCTGCAGGATCCAGTGGAACGTGCTCCTGTTTCTTGGGATGTCTGTGCCTGGCATAAGGAGGCTGGTGGGATCAGTAACTTGATGACATGAAATTTAAGTAACTCAATTGTCCACCAGATGCCTTTGGAGAGTGTTTAGTCCGGAATACACTGAATTATTTTTAAAGGGAGTTGTATGAATTTAGTGCCACAGGTTGGCAGCCAGTGACTTCTGTCTTGGCTTGCAAAACACCCTGCTCTTCCATGTCTGGGCAATGCTAGAAAACTTCTCTATCAAAGAACCATAGGATGGACGCAGTCCTTGGTGGAAAAACAACTTCTCTGTCGTTTACTGTAGTAGTCAAGTAAAACAGGTTATATCTGCATTAGCTAAAGTTCCTTTATCTGCATGCTAAACCTCCAGCTGCCAGAAGCAGGGACTGAATGACAGAGGATGGAGCACTCAAAATTGCCCTGTTCTGTTCATTTCCCCTGGGGCACCTGGCACTGGCCCCTGTCGGAAGACAGGATACTGGGCTAGATGGACCATTGGGCTGACCCGTATGGCTGTACTTATGTTCTTGTGTTATGTTAAGCTGCCGTAGGACCCCCGAAAAAGCACGTAATCACATGCTTAACTGTAAGCACATGTCTAGTCCCATTGACTTGGGAGTAAGTGCTTTGCTGGATTAGGGCCAGAATGCTCAGCGGTTTGCAAGACAGAGCCCTCACTGAGAGTTTGCATGTGCAGCACAAGTGGAGATGATTTGAACCATGATCCAGGCTCATCACCACGCCACCAGAGCACAGCTGCGAGGCCAATTCAAACTACAACTCACAGAGACTTGGAATTTTTTTTTCCACTGGCTGATTCTTTCCGCACGTCAAGGAAGAAGACAGTTTGGAATAGGACGTGACCACACGTCGTATTACCTTGCTGGCATGTGGCGCCTGTCCATCCAGCCGCACAGAGACACTGTCCACTAACATGGTCACAGGTGGCATCATTAAAGCAGCTGCATGCCTGACTGCAATTCTCTCCATACCAGTGAGCCTCACAAGCTGCAGGGAAACAGAAGTAGGCACAACAACTAAGGCTGGGTCTACACTACCCACCTGAATCGGCGGGTAGAAATCGACCTCTCGGGGATCGATTTATCGCGTCCCGTCGTGATGCGACAATCGATCCCCGAATCGACGCTCTTACTCCACCAGCGGAGGTGGGAGTAAGCGCCGTCGACGGGAAGCCGCAGAGGTCGATTTTGCTGCCGTCCCTACAGCGGGGTAAGTCGGCTGCGATACGTCGAATTCAGCTACGCTATTCGCATAGCTGAATTTGCGTATCTTAAATCGACACCCCCCCCCCCCGTAGTGTAGATGTAGCCTCAGTAACAGGTATTAGTTACATAGACTTTTACTGCTGATTCAGAAATGCCACTGTTTGGGAGAAGACAAAGGGGATGAACCAGCAACCTCACCAATGAAAATGTTACAAGAAAGTCAGGTTAACTGCCAGCTATGTCTGCTCAAGAAAAGTAAGAGGGAGGGAGGGAGAGAGAGAGAGAGAGAGAGAGAGAGAGAGAGAGAGTGTGTGTGTGTGTGTGTGTGTGTGTGTGTGTGTGTGTGTGTGTGTGTGTGTGTGTGTGTAGTAGTAAGT